GGGAAATTTGAGCATGATCTGACAAGTTGGGTGGCCCTTTACTATCACAATGTACATTTCTCTTGTAAAGTATAAATTCTTATTCAAAAAAAAATAAACCCCACTATCACAAAAAAAGGCTTTTATTAATACATGACATATTCTGTAAAGTCTTCCCTCGACTCCCACACGTGGAACCAGTCATGTATAAAATGTTCTCTGAGACCCAGAAAGGCAGAAAAATAAACATTAACACCAACCGAGCTGTGCTGTGTTTCTGAAAATAGCCTTTCTAATTAGTTAGCTACAGTCACGGCGTTTGTATCAGCACACAGCGGTTTACACAGCAGTCATGCAAAGCCAACCTGACTGATTATTCGTTGAAATCTAGGCCACTTCTAATCAGCAGTCACACAAACTAAGATTAGATGATTATAATAACCAATTTACTGATGGTTGCAATAACCAATCTAACTTGATGGGTGAATAATAAAAAACTACCCCATCAAAGGCAGCCAAGCCTCCAACTTAATAGGTCAATCCATCAATTTTTTGGCTTCGAGAGAGCCAGACTCCCTCTGCCAGTTCCTTAGTTCTCTCTGATAGCTTCCACTCTGCCCGGTACCGTAAATCATCCCTCTCAGCGCCTGAATCTACCAGCTCAATCCTCAGGAACATTTCTTTCTCCAAGATCAGTGAAGCTAACACAGAGTCTGTTGCTTGTCTGGCTCTTGGCAGTCTCGGTGTGGAACGGGAAATCCCACGACAAGTGGGTGGACCACTTTTAACCCCTCTGCTTCGGACTTCCTCTTCCTCGTGTTTCACCAGTGTCATTTCTCCATCATCACCGCTAGATGTACTTGAAGAGCTCTCATTGGTTGATTCAGAGCTGACAGAAGACTGTGTGTCTTCCAATTGGTCAAGGTCCACTTGGTAGGCTAATTTTCTGCTACTCTGTCTGTTAATGGACAGACAAGGAGGCCATCGGAGGGCGAGACATCTTGTCATTGCCAGCCATAACTGCTGAGGCCTGAATAAACCTGACCTTGGAGGTTGATTTGTGTCGCAAAAAACATTGCGGTTCTCCAGTCGCTGGCATTCTGCTGCTAATTCTGCCTCCACCAGCTCTGTTACTCCATTAGAGTTCTTTGGAGACAGTTCTTCATCTCTGTCCTCATTCTTTGACTGTAGCTGGTCATCTTCCCCGAAGCTGAAAGAGCTGCTGAACCTCTGGCTCCTCTTCATCGCACTCTCTGCTTCCACATCTGAATCTGATGATGAATCTTCATCTGATGAGCACCCACGTGGTGACGATTGCTCTTTATAATCCGTTGACCGTTGATTCTCTTCAGACTCAGAGGAGCTGCTCGCCCTCTGGCCTTTCCTCATGTTTGGGAAGACAAGTCCCTCCTTTTGCCTAATACGTCAGCTGCCTTTTGCTGCTCTTCTTTCGACTGAAAGGGAGGGAAAAAATGTAATCAAGGCAACAACAACAACAACAACAACAGCAGCCGCAGCAGCTCTGCTAGCATGGCACTTTCTGACATAATCTCTGCTTCAAGAGGCACAGCTTTGGCTATGGAGATGGGCAGTGATGACGCTGTGATGTCATGTGCCCAGATGCACACACACAGGCACACACAGAAAGCCCTGCATGGCTATGTGTTCACGCTCCAGTCGAGTGAGCGGTGACTTGCCTCAGAGGGAAGTGATGTCACATTGCATGATGTCATACCTAGCCGTGAACCAGGAGCCTGCAAATGGTCTGTGTTTGTGCGAGAGCCCAGATGGTGAAAAAGATGCCCTACCCCCAAAATTGACCTAGATGTGCAAAAGGGGAGTCTTAATAGATAAATGTTGCTTTTTTGTTTTCCCCTGTTCATCTTACTCTAGCTCTCTTTGTGCAGTTATAGTTGTATTGGTATTCAATTCAATTTTTTATTTATTTAGGTATAATTAAGGTATAATGGTGCACCAAGGTAAATGTACGAATACCTAAATTGTAAGATCCAGATGTGAGTATCTACAAACAGCTGTGTTTCTATAATCTGTTAGTGTGCACAAACAGAGATGTAAATAAAATATAAATATGGCAAGTATACCAAACACAGCAACCACTGAAACTGTTATCCACAACAGATGTTTTTCGTTATACTAAAGTCATTTCCAACCAAGTTATTTAACTGAATAAGAGGCATTCCATGGGTGCTGATATAGAGCACAACATCACTGGGACATCGCACCTATCACTCCGCCTTACAGGTGTTTTAAACCATATATTGCATTATCTGTTTATTAGCTGTCATTACAGGTCGTCGTAACAAACTCTGCATTGCAAATATGTACACAAATAACACTTGGGTTAAATCATGAAAAGGCATCAGAAGAGTATGAAGTAAAGAAGCCTGAATACTTTGCTGCAAACCTGCAGGTGTGCTCTTATGTCACCCATTGCACAATAAATGGAACATATAGATAAATGCACGTGGTGCAAAGTAGCTGGCCTGAGGTAATGTGTAGACCTTCACAAAGTAGCAAGCTACTGTGCGGGGATGTTTATGTGTTGCTTGGCAACAGTCCAGTCGCAGAGCCGAATAAATGATTTAATAAACAAACAAATCACAATCTGTTGTTGCTTATTACTGTTAACTAATAAGTGGTGCTTGTAGAACTGTCGTATAAAAGCAATATCACACTCAAGGTCGTGCTGTGTTGATATTCAGCACAACAGCACTCCCTCTTGTGTGATATTGGCTTAATTGCATCACAGATAATAATTTATTTATTTACTTTTGCATGCATGCCTGTTGTATTTTGGAGGGCTGTGGGACAGAGAGAGACGAAGTGAGAGAAAGTCACAGAGCACCAGCAGGTACACCAGCTGCGCATACCTGCTGGTGCTCTGTGTGTGTGTGGTAGCAGAGTACATGAGTGCTTGTGTGTGTCTGTAGCCTGCTCAGTGAGTACCTCCTGTCCCACGTCGACAGTGGATGTTAGGTCACTCGTTATCTCCCTTGCTTCTCCATTTATGGTTATGATGGCTGCTCGGACTCCACGTCTCTCTGTTCATTCATGGTACACATTCTTGCATCACCGCGGGGCAAAAGGACATCAGCCACTGCCAACTCCAGACCTGCTGACCTTATCACACACAGAAACGCATGTCACAGCTGATAAAATCTGGTGAGTCAATTTTGGTGTGTAGGGGCCTGCATATCATTGATACACACAGTGAGCTATGAGATGAGAACACCTTCCTAAACTGTTACATTTCAAATACTAATACCAGTCATGATCTTCACTGTTACATGATGACCCTGTGAGACCCTGCCCTCGTATCTTTGTGAAAGCCTCTGCCATGCAATTTCTTCCATCTTTCATGGTCAACATGGTGTAGCCTTTTAGCCCCCCCCCCCCCCCCCCCCCCCCCCCCCCNCCCCCCCCGTGTCCATGAATTCTTAGCCAGTTGAAATAACATCCAGATAAAGAGACACAGACACAGATTAACACACTGTGCATCATCACATTATGCAAACTTTAATCTCATCTCACACTCATTGTAAATAAATGCTTCCATACAATAACTGAACGATGACGTGATTGTGTTAAGGAGCTCCTTGTGGGGTCCTGTTGTATCTGAGTCACTGACGCTCTGTCAGGAATGCAGTGGTGGGAGAGCACAAAATATGGAGAGGCACGCTGCCTCTACCCTAAAATGTCCCCTGGCAGACAAACACAGGGCTTGGCTGAACACCGTGCCTCCCTAGTCTAAGTATGAGTGTGTGGCTACAGTGTCTTCTGGCCTTGGCTGTCTCCTACTGTAAAAATTACAACACTTTGTTGATGAATAATATATCATAGAAGAGTGTGTGGTGTGGGAGAGATGAGGCTGGATAAACATTTCATTATTAAATGGCTCTGTACGTCATCTCACCAGTGCACTAATTCACATCCTCTGGTCTATTATCTTTGTATGTATATTGCACATATTCTCAATACTGTAAACTCGTGCACATCCCTGCACAAAGCTGTGCAGCTCTCTCGTTTTGAAACATAAATATTACTCACTTTTTTCATATTTTATTATTGGAATTTTGCTATTTTATTTCTTGCAGTACTTGCTTTAATCTTCATTTCCTCTCAATATGCATTTTGTAGGCTATGCACCGAACACCAAGACAAACATCTTGTGAAAACCTACCTAACAATAAACCCTATTCTGATTTTGAAGTCAAGAGCAAAGCTATGTTTCCATCTCGGTCTTGAAAAAGACATTTTTAATCTCAATGAGACTTGTACCCATTTAAATAACGGATATTTCAGAAGCTTTGATGAAAAGTTTTAAGGTCAGAGATTCAGGATGCCAAACAGCTTTCATCACAATCTCATTATGACTTGATTGCTCCTCATATCAGCACTGAGGGACGTGAAGTCACTTTTATCTCAGACCTTTGTTCATCACCTTCATAAATTATAACTTTAATTAAAACGTGCACACTGTCATTTTAGCCAACGTGTCTGCGGTTCAAGGTCAAAAACTGGTGCTACACAAGCAGGAACACTGTGGGAAAGGTGGAAGTGAGTTGGAAACAATGTGGATACCATCATGAAAAAATCATAAAAGCTTTGGGCATCAGCTGCTGACTGGCACGTCGGGATGTTTTCCCCTTATCTCAGCTATTTCTGGACTGCATTCCCATACATTATTCACACAAACTGAGGGGGAAACCCGTATACAAGCCATTAAACTCACCCCAAGGTCTGCTGAAGTTCGCTGAAATGTCTAATTCATTAGGGGCAGGTGAGTTGAAAGCCGCTTCAGGTCCCTGCAACAGGCGCGCCAGACGAGGGCGCTCCTCACACTTCCAGGCACGGGAGGTGAGCTGGAGCCAAAGCAGCGTGCGCATGTAACGCGACTTCCCATTGGGTGAAGTTTTGCAGCGCTTGTGTCAAACGGATCCCCATTGGACGGCTATAAGTAGGCGGTGCCGTGCATGGCATTTCATTGATATAGCCTACAGCTGGTGGCCACAGATTCGCCACACGGAGTGGAAGGACTATGAAAGTGACGAAGGCTTGATGTAGGGGGGTTTTAATGAAGGCTCGAGAAGTGTTTTCTTATTTTTAAAGAGTGGCACACCAAAGATTTACAAGAATACACAGCCAAAATGCTCTGCCACGTTACTCGTCCGGATGCGGTGGTGATGGAGGTGGAAGTTGATGCGAAGGCGAACGGTGAAGACTGTCTGAATAAGGTAGGCTGTGGTGGAATACACATCCCGCTTTGTTATTATGATAACCTGCATCTAAACCCCAGTGCTATGGTCAGATGGGACAGCAGTGATCTGGTTGTCTTGCAAAACTTTAGATTTTCCATTTTCTAAACTTAAGCTCGATGGCTTATTTAATGCCTCTTATAAACAGGCAAATAAGACACAGAAATAAACTCAGTTTCTGCACTAAAACGCTTATAAACAAGGTGTGTTTGCTGCTTGATGTTTGCCAATATTCACTTAAGCTGTAAACAAAACTACCGATACATCTGCTTTGTTGTTGCACAGAAGGACGGCGGAAACAAAATGTTCTGCTAAGTACAACCAGAAGGAAAACATTTGTGTGTAACAATGAATCACCAATATGACGAATCATAGTCAACGCGAAATAACTTGCAGGCTACATTTAGGAAAGTTTTGATGCATTGTGGTTGTCGCCTCTACCTGCATGGCTTAGTCAGAGGCAGATGGCTTTGTTAAGGTTACTCGAGTTCATTCTTGAGCCTTTGCAAGCTCTCAGCGTCCTCGCTCCACTCAAACTGAAACTTCAGTCTCAACTTTTAGATATTCGCCTATTTTCCCTCCAAAGTGGACATGAAAGGAACAAACTCGCATATTACTCTTTGCATCAGTAGCCTCAAGTTGTTTTTTCCGCTATTGAAACGTAAAGCTACTTCATATGCATGGCATATCCCCAACTTGCCGTGGGTATGAATGAGTTTTATCTCAGCCTCCGGGCTCCCTGCAGACGAGCAGCAGCGGTTATGTAATAACCCCATGGCCGCCGCCGCTGAAGGGGCGTGGGATTGTGGGTTTGATGAGCCCCTTTACCCCGGGAGAGCCTCCAAGTTTACTTCCAGCCTATCGCGAGCTTTAGAATATTGATGGGTTTTATCTGTAGCAGTGGGACAGCCGAAAAGCTAATGAACAAAGTGATAAAAGAAGCCTTATTTTCTTAGCCTCCTGAAAATGTTGACAAACTATTTTTTTTTTACTGTTGGGGAATTCTGTTGATTCTTGCCAAAATGTAAAGGGACCTCTCAACTCACTTTCCTATCCTGCTGTGAAAAGATACACTTTTAGAAACTGTGAAATTTACTCCCAGGATTTTAGGGTCCTTTTTGCATTCTCAAAATCCACTTTTGTGACTCATTTGTGTCATCTCTTCCCAGGTTTGCAGAAAGTTGGGCATAATTGAGGTAGACTACTTTGGGCTGCAGTTCACAGGCAGCAAGGGAGAGAACCTGTGGCTCAATCTGAGGAACCGCATCTGTCAGCAAATGGACAATGTGACGCCCTGTCGACTGAGGCTGCGGGTCAAGTTCTTTGTGGAGCCCCATCTCATTCTGCAGGAACAGACAAGGTGTGTTTACCAACCGCTTGCACAGACGTATTGTGCAGATCTGCCACATGAAGCTCATCACATTTGTTTAGTCATACGATAAGATCTAATTTTATTTTACCACTTCCTTTATAACACATTTTCTGCCACATACCCATAAATAAGCTCACTACCCTCTCTCAGTAAAAATTATCTGTTTTTTTATTAACATACTTTCATGACTGCATCTGATATACAGTGATGATGATGTAAAAAAACAAAACAAAGCCATCCTTGGTATGCTTCCAGAGCATATCTGATAGTCATACATTAGAATGAACTGTAGTAACCTCTCCCCAGAGCCCTTCCGGGGTTACTGAAGGTCATTCTGTTGGAGCTCCAGGCAGGAAATGTGATCCAGCAGCTCTGGGGGTATGTGTCTCTCTGCGCCTGCCCCCAGGGACCCTCTGTGCGACAGCCAGGACCTCTGTCACAGCCCCCATTCAACTCAAAATAACTTTTGTTGTGCTTTTTTTGTTTCAATTGTTTGTGGCCATTTTTGTGTGAACAAAAGCACACTCCTCCATTTGGGGTTTTTGCAGATGCTGTTTGGAAATTGTGCGATGGGCCAGTGTAGGGTGCTTTCCTCCATAGGCATTGTTTTAACAGGAGTATGTCATCATGAGTCATTGGTACAGCTGGTGATATATGTCATAGTTTTTTTTTTAGAGCAGCAGGATCTAAAGTTCATTCGCACTTTAAGACGTTTTTAAGCACATGTACCCGAAATGCTAGTTATATTTTAATTTTAAGAACACAGCAGTAAGCAAAAAACACACACTGGCATCACATCACCCCTTACTAGCTCTCCTCTCTGCAAGATTAGCTTAAGAAAAAAAACCCACTACTCAGATCAAAGTAACAAGCCATGACATGTCCAGATCCTGACTCAGTATTCCCTCGCTCCAGTTTCATTTGAAGTTATAAATAGCATCCGCAGCCCTCGGAACCTGTCCAAAAAACTTGTTTTACACACAGTGTCTGGCGTGGTACTGTGGATGTTATAGTCACCCCAGGCACTGCCACAAGTGTTTGATATAAGGGGAAATTAGTTTGGTGTCTTTTTAAGCTCCGCCGTGCTGCTTGTCCCCTCTCGCTCACAAACACACACAGCATGCCACTAGAACTGTTCATTAAACCGACATGTATCTGCCTTGGCAAGGATTTGACCAGCATTCCAGCAAGCACTCATTTGCTTCCCAGTTCACCCACCGCTCCACCTTCAGCTGTTTCTCACCCCCTCTTCCCTCCCTTCATGTGCTGATCAAATATAAAAGCATAGACTTTGTTCTCTTGCCATATTCTTATCGCTGTCAGATATAAACTGTCCCTGCATGCTCACACGGCCTCTGTCCACCTCGCTCGCCCCTCCCCCCCCTCCCCCCCCTCACCACTCTGGCCCATATTTGGCAATCTTTTGAAGGAAAAAAGTGAAAGGCAGTGGGGCAAAGAGTGTGTGAGGGTGGAAGACACTTGGCTGCCTGCGCTCTGACCTCCAATGATTAGCGGGGGTTATCAACAGATGGCTGGCGTCAGGTGGGGGTCATGGGGTTGTTAAAGAAAGGTGAGATAAAGATGTGAGATGGCAGGCAAGGGTACTCACACACGACACATAGCAACATGCTGTCAAGTTATGTGTTTAATTTTGGTGCAGCCTTCATGCCATCCATCTGCTCAGATGTGATATAATTTAAGTGGTGGGGGAGCAAACACTGGCATCAATTTAGAGATAAAGGGCAAGATGTTGACAGCACATAGCAGTGGCATTTTAAGGACCAACACAAAGCTCTGGGAACCAGCTATACTTCATTTAAAAGGGTCATGAAATTACACATGGCATTTATGTGAATATTTTTTTCTACTTTCATTTGAAATTTACTTGACTTGTGGAGAATATATTCATACATTTGAGTAAATTAGCACTTTGAGGACCAGATAGTGTCCCATTCACTCATTTTATATTCTTTCACCTTTGACCTACTTTAAGCTACAGCAGCCTCTGCACAACGTGTTCTGACTGCAGGCGTACACCCCTCCACGCCTCATCAAGGCAAACACATTGCACATTTTTGCTCCTCACATGACTAGAAATGCGTCCAGTTCTTCTCTACAGAAAAGTCAGTATGCCACAAAAATGTTTGCTGTATTTAGTGTCAAAAAACGCAGTCAAAGATGAGTTCATGAACAAGTTTTAGAAGTTGAAACCCAACGTGAGCCTCTCGCTTCACACCATCTTTATAACCACACATTGTTTCCCTAGTTTCACAAGAATCTGTGAGCTGGGGTAAATGTTCTTGCAGCCTATGGACAAAGCCAAAGGGACTGTATGGTACCAATAGACTCTATTGAGCTGAGGGGTGGGCCTCTTTTTCTACGCCCTTCTTATAGTCCTTATTACATAACCTACACTGGACTGAGCACGCACAGATCTGCTTATATAAGCTTCTGTGTACTCTGCTGCCACGTAAAGCCTAGCAGGTCACTTGCATGTTCTTGCTCACATGCAGCTTAATATTTAGATAGTCTCGTTCCTCTTTTTGCTGGGCCTTTATAATTTCTCATAACCAGTATATCTATATAACCTTTTAGGTAGAGTTTGTCTTCTGCTGCACAAAACCAAAGCGCAATCCACATATATTTGAGTTGCAAGGCTTAAGTTCAGCTTTATTCCTTGGCAGCCATATCCCCTCCTTCTAAAACCCCTTTTTCCTTAATCTCATTGCTATGAGATTCTCCATTCACCCATCTCCCACAGGCTTGTTTTATAAATCTAGAATTTCCCAAATGCATAAAATAATCTTTTGATGTGGCGTCCTCTCCTCTGCCACCTTCTATTTTGGGCAGCTGAAGGGGCCACATCGAACAAAGACGAAAGCAAGGGCCATGCCAACCTTCCAGTGGCTTGAGATGGGAGTTGCACTACATGATGCTTCCGACATTTTCTTGGCTTTATCGTTTAATTTCATGCCAGTGGAAAACAAAAAAACAGTTCTCCAAAATAAAGTTGCCTAAAAACATCTGATTCGCCTTCATCTGTATTTCCATGACGCATTAACTGGAGGAACTAATACTTTCCATTGGTTAAGGGATACTGACCCAAGGGCCTCAACAACAGCCTGTGTTATCTGCATCATTAAACACTGCTTGCTGGGGGGTGTTTTTTCCCTTCATTAGCACTCGTATTTAACATTCTGATCAGGCAAACATTGGATATCCTGAAAGGGCACAGCTGTTAGTGCAGGCTTTATCAGAGGCCCTCATTGTGAAGCTGTTTATCTCCTCAGGTGTAAAGCTTATCTTTTAACTTGAATCCAAACTAAAAGCCAAATGAGTTTTAACCAAGGACTCCTTCTGATTGTTATACTTTTTAGTAATTACATCTCAATATGTTTGCATGCAAGTTAACTTGTTTTTTTTCCCTATTTGTGTCACAAATTAAAGCTGTAGTGGGTAACTTTTATAAAAGCAACTTTATCATTTTTGCTGGAACAGTCACTATATTCACACAGCACTGAATGAGACAGGTAATCTGTGAAAGAAAATTCATGTTCCTCTGCCTTTTTGTAGCATTTTTAATTGCCGCACCGCACAAGAACAAAAACAACCAATAAGAGAGAAGGAGTCTCCAACGCAGCTGTCAGTCACCACTAGTGTACCACAGTCTTGATGTACTGATCGAACTGCATTGTCTATTCCTCACCTCATTTGTTTTCATTAAAACTTTAGTGTGATGTTTAGCTGTAAAACGAGAAATTTTTGCCATGTTGGAAACAGTTTCATTAAAACAGAGCGCCACCCACCAGCTGGAGCAAACTCTCATTTTACAACTAAACAGTACACTAAAATATGTTATGTTCTTAGGCAGTGCAGTAACAGAATTTTGATTCATATTGGATCAGTGCTGCCTAGTTTAAGAGTTTGACCACAACTCATGAGCAGTGACTGACACGATGACAACTGCGTTAGAGATTCCTCAGCTCCTCAGCTTGGATTGGTTGTTTACCAGCAGTGGTAGATTCCAACAAATGCCGTGAGAAGCACTATGAGGAAAAGACAGATGGGTCAGTGTCATCAAACAAGTCTTTGAGAATACATTCATACCCTCAAAGTCAAACATGTCAGATTTATACCAAACAGTCTGTTCTGTGATGCAGCACAATACTGGAAATAATTCCAAACTAAAAATTTTTAAATCCAACTTCAAGGACTTTGCTCTGCTGATGTCACTGCTCTCGCAGGACAGCGTTCCTTCTTCTTATATAATGCCAGGCGTTTCAAAGACATGCTGGTCAGGGGCACTGGAAAATCAGGTGAATCAGTGTGTTAACCTTGTGACGGACTATCGATCTGTCCAGGGTGTTTCCTTGCCTTTCCCCCAGTGCGTGGTGGGAACAGTTCCAAACCTATGTATAGTTATCAACTGAGATTTTACAATGAATGGCTTGATCAACATTTACATTAATCACCGCTGTTAAATCGTAGCAGTTCATTTCTTGTGCAGCTGTAGAAAACTCCCATCAGCTCTCTACACTGCCACTTCATCTGAATGCTCTGCGAAAACAATTTGAGGCAATTTATTCAGGTCACACAGAAGTTAGAATGTTTAGCTCGCTGTGGCGGGCTCCACAGAAGATCAAGCCAAAGATCACACAAGATGCCTGTGGGTGTTTCATGTGTTCAAAAACACCACCCAAGGATTTATCAGCCAGCTCCATCATCAGTAATTAGTAGCTTTCCCCAGCCCTGTGAGTGTCTTTCCTCTGTCATGTGTTGTGCACTCAAGTAACCTAGCCCTGATTTTGTCTTGTTTGAAGTCATAACATTGCTCTTGCCCAAGAACGGCAGAATTGTTTTATTTGTTTGGTGCCTGAACTTTGGATTGATGCTGAGCTTTAATCACTGTTTCACCATCCAGTACAGAGCACCAGCCTGTAACCAAAGTATTTAGCATACAAACAGCTTCTTTGTTTAATGGCAGTGTGGCTTTCTGTTCAGCTCGGCACAGAGTTGCAACTTGTGCTCAGTATGATTGTTTTGCAACTTTCGGATAAATTGCACGATTCATCCTTTAATAAGCGCATTAGTTTGTCTTTCCTTTCAGCCCACACCTTGAGAGAAGATGTTCAGCAGGGTTTACTGCAGTTCAATGACTGCTAGTAACCTCACAGCACACAGCTCCTGGCAGTGTCTCATTTGACTAGCTCACAAACCGCATTGTTGAGAGCCCAACCGATGAGGTCTGAAAGTCTACTGGTGATTGGCTGGAGGTGCAGTCTCTAGGCAGAGGTGTTAGGTTTCAGTTTGTGGGGACGTTTTGTTCTTCTGTGAAGTGAAGCGGCTGACATTCTGCCTACTGGGAGAATAGACACTGGGTCGGGGTAGAAAACATTAAAATAAGACAATGGTTTTATAGATGGGTGGAACAGACTGGAGTGGGTTTAGTTGACTTGGTAATGAGCGTCTGTCTACTTGAGAAAGTATGCTTATTCCTTTTTTTTTTTTTTTTTTTTTAAACTATGGCGCTAAAGTACATGCAAAAAGATTTCTCAAGTCTTTTTATAAACAGCTCCAAATAGCTCAACATTGGATTGGATTGCTTAAAATGCACACAAACACTGTATTTTTGGGATGTTTTAGTGTTTTAAATTTGAACGGTTCACAGACTGGGCAGAAGAAATCAGCTGAAAAACATGAATTATCTCATCCCCTCAGCTCAGCTCTGTAGCCAGTGACCTATTTTCAGATATTCTTTCTCAGGGTTCAGGCCCGCTTTAATTGAATTATTCCAGCAAGGCAATCAAGTATTCAAACATTCCTGCAGCACCCCACATGACCTCCCCTTCCCCCCACAACCACTGTTTTGAATCATTCTCCTATGCTGTTAGCATTCAGGGGTGTTATGACTGTAAATAAGTAAGCCTCTAAAGACTTTGATTATGAGTTATCTCCCATGAAGGACAAAGCGGTGATGAGATGTACTCAAGTAGGCCAAGAGACTTTGGTCTCCGCACAGACTTCCTGGCATTCAGTCTGTGTCTGGTATGTTATCGAGCGCCAGTCTAAAGGAGGAGACGATGCTGTGATGATGGCTGCAGTGTTCCCGGACGACCCTGTCATGATGCGTGTGCAAATGTGTCTGAATAGTGATGTGTTTTAGTCATCAGGATGGCGAATGAAACGGGCTGAAGCACACAGAGGAGAGGTCTGGCTGCAAATAAACAGCTCCTCAAGAGTGAGTCTGATTCAGCATGGCATCCTCACGTTCCAATAAGAGACAGATTCAAGTCCTGTGATTCTGTCTGGCTACGTCACTCAAATGAGTCACAGCGACTTAGATGCCCGTTTTGTTGAGCACGGGGGTCATTTATCCGCTCTGCTGTCTCTTGTCTTGTCACCTTGGTTACAGGCCTGCGTAAACCTGAAGGGTTTGTACAGGGATAACCACAATTTTTTTTCAAGTGTGTCCAGACAAATGCATTCACTTCACATCAGTGGGTCTCAAATGTTTTGTCCACTCAGGAGACATTTCAAAAAAGCTTTTTTAGTCCTGTCTCAACCAGTCAGCCTCAAACACCATGTTGGGAGATGGTGGATTTATGGACTGTTGTCTCTCCCACACTTTGAGTTTAGGATGGACCTTGACAGACGCTGAGGCAGCACTACACCGCTTGATCACGCTGATCCTGGGAAAGCTGTCTGAGAAGCTTTCTACTTGATACAGAGGCCGAGGAAGACGACAGGGCAATCTGCACAAAACATTTTCCCTTGTTGCTGCCATAACAAAAGTAATATAGCAAGATTCCTTTGCTGCACAAAGCTGGTGTTTAGAGCAGATCCAGTAGCAGTCTCGCCTCGCAGGGAGCCTCAGTGGGAGAACTTGTTACCTTGTGCTTGTAAGGCAGCTGCGTGTTGTGAATTTTCAGACATGTTTTTTGTTTTGTTTGGCAGATGCATATCTGATGGCTCCCATTCAGCCTCAGGGAGCCATCGTTGAACTGTAGTTACCTCTGTTGTTACCTGCTCTGCTGTAAAGCTAATAGGAGGTGTTTTCCTTCCAAATGATAATTGGAATTTTTGGCCAGCTCAGCAAAGCTTGCACACCTGTTTACACACGTGGGCGACCGCAACACCTGGAATACTGGATTTGGAGGTGTGTTGCTCAGCAGCCTCGTGGCCAAATAGGCCAAACAGTCCACATAGTCACACATGGTTGGTTAAGTGAAACATCGCTGAGGTTAAAACTCATCATGTTACACATTGGCAGTGTCACAACACCAAACTAACAGCAGGCTGGGACTTGTGGTAAAGGAAGCTTGTTAAGATATTAAATGACTTGCTCAGTGGCACAGTGACCGATAGTAACCTCTTGCCAGCCCCGCCTGAACTACAGTAACCTCCGCAGCTTGCCCTATAATAACCCTGCGTCGGCACCCTATAGTAAACTCCAGTCAGCCCTATTGTTTGCGTCAGGCAGGTAGCTAACTAGCAGCGCTCCATCACATGATGCCTGCTGGGCCTGACACAATAGAGAGCAGTGTTTGTGTGCGTGTGCGTTGGAGGGAATGGGATGTTTAACACCATATCAAAGCAATGTTTGTTATGCCTGAGGCTAGTCAGCTACAGGGCTTCGTTGTTATGGTGTGGCTTTATCAGGGGCGGTGTAGCCCGACTTTGTTTGTGTACCTCACAGCTGCTTTCACTGCCGTTGTTACTCCTCGGAAGCACCGTGAATGTGTGTTGGAGAAGGTGTGCCCTCCGTTACAGCATACTGAAGCAATACACAAGTGTGCGTATTCTGCCACCAGTCTTGCATTGCTCCCTCAAGAGTCTGGTTCTCAGTCCCATAAGATGACAGAGGAAACATCACCTCCAGCTGGTTCCCTGCATCATCTGCATTTCCCAAAAAACACCTCGGCACATGCATCTTCTACATAAACAGAACACAATGGGTCTATGTAAACCTAATAAAAGGGGTGATGAGTGCTACCTTTCCCCCTCCACTTAGTGTCCCTCTAAACCCTCTCAATATCCTCAAGTCACAGTGTGACCTGATTTGCAGTTTGCACAAATGAAAAATGTCTCTGTTTGCATCATGCTTCAAAGAGAACTGCTGCCCGGGGGTGTTTTTTTTTTTTTCTTTTTGCGGAAATAACAAGCAGTTTCTGGCGCAGTCTGCTTTTAGTCTACCACACCAGGATGCAGTGGGCCAAAAACATTCAGCCATTTCTTTTAACATAAATTGTTTTACTGCTGAAACTTGTGTCAGCACAGGATATCAAAGTCATACTTAAATTTCTGGCGTTGTCAAATGAAGTCTAAAGTGAGATCTGGAGTTACAGTTAAGTCACCAGGCACCCCAATAGGATCGTAACTAGTCAACAACACTGGCCAGTGGAAAGCTGTCCAACAGGTTTGTTGTCACAGACGCAGGTAACTGGAAGCAAAGCCTTTTGCCTGTGCAATCCCCTTAAGGTCACTGTGTCATAGGTAAGCTCAAGGAAGGATCAGTTAAGGTTACTTTAGTTCAGCGCTCGTTGTGATGCAAGGATTGAGCCAGTCAGGGTGTTTCTCCTTTTGACATTTTGTCTCCTGCTGCTAGGAGGAAAGCATTCCTCACATCTTCAGGTCAAAACAATGGAAAGGACCTGCCACGGCTTATTTTGTTTCTTGAGAATTTTGCTGTTTTTTTGTGGCCACACCAGAACTCTGTGTTCTCATTTAATCGTTCAACCCAAACAATAACAATTGTGGTTTTTGACCACTATTAATCTTTGAACGATTGTCCCAACTGTCACTTCACGAACCCACCTCATTTTGAACAAGAATCAAGTGTCAGACAAAACAAAACCAGAGGAGGCCTGTCTTTAAATCGGTATATTGCACGAGTTTGTCAAAAATGTGGTTCAGTAACTGCAAAGGGCCACAGAGCAAGAGACTCAGACAGGATGCTGGCCATTGTAACTCCATTTAAGTCCCGATTTTGCATTCAGATTTCAGATTAATCGCATAACAACACACAGCTGTGGTCACATATTGGCCCAGCAGTTACAGTTTGAGCACAGTTGCCCATTGAGTCACCAGGTTAAAAGTCCAAGTACTTCCTCTACTGGAGCAAACAACACGATCCTGTCACTTCTGTCCCTCTTTCAACTTCCACTTTTAGAGCCTCCAGTGAATAAACACTTAAAGGAAGTTCTAATAATGTGTTCTGAGGAAGGGATTGAAAGAGAGAAAGTGAGTCCTTGTGACAGTTGCTTTTCCTTCTGCTGCGCACAAACACAAAAACATCTGCTGTTTGCAGCGAAATCCTAGCCGTGTGTGTCCACCTGCTCTTTCTTTTGTTATTCCACTGTCTGGATAAACGTAAAAGAGTTCGTCATATATTGAAAGATCCCCCCCTGTTCTGTTTTCCTCCTGTCCCCCAGACATGTCTTCTTCATGCACGTGAAGGAGGACCTCCATAACGGTCACTTACGGATGGGCTCTGAACAAGCGGAGGAGCTGAGTGCACTCCTGGCACAGGCCGAGTTTGGCGACTACAACCAAAACACAGCCAAGTACTGGTACTCGGAGCTATGCGGAGAGGAGCCCAGCACTGCCACCATCAACAGGTATTTTTAAAGCAACTCAACATGGGCCTCAAGAGGAGCAGGAAGTTGAAATGTTCTTGATTGTGAATACATAGCATGCACAAAAACAGTATTGTTTTGCTGGCACAGACTCGTTTTGTTCTCTGCACATCTGACTGTAATAAAAGCCCCACTCTGACCTGAAGTGAACTAATGATGTCTGGGTATCTCACACAAGACAATTGGAATTTGGACATAGTTAATGTAACTCCTATACAAGTAAACAAGGTCTGGCTAATTATTGAAACCCGTTTTCGGTGTTTTCCTGAATCTCTGCCCACTCACTGTCCCCCCATGAAGACATGATAAAGAGTAAATAATGGGTCATGGCAACGAGGCACGGACAATATAATGTGGCAGCTGGTTTTCAAGGAAATGAAAGGAAATCAAAATTCTGTCTTAAGCAAAAAAATAAAGATACAGCGAGTTGAAATGACTAGTGCTGCCCCTTCTTATAAATTGCAGTGTCTGTCTTTATTTATCTGAGGTGAAAGGCTTTAGATAAGAGTAGATGACACACAGTCGCAGTGTGTGTTGGCTGTTTGACAGCTACTGCACACATACACTCACACTGATCAGCCAAACAGCAGCTGTCAGGAAGTCAGATAGCATGTGTTTGCAGAGCTCCACTGACAGAACCTCCAACTGTGCATCCTGAATGTTTTCTCTGTAAACAAGAAGAGGGTGACACGGTTTCACTACTGCAAGGTTTTCGGAGACAATGAGTGTGGATTCCTCTGCATCGTGCAAACTCCACACCACACTTTCCACAGCAGTGCCCGTCCCACCTACAACTGTTGGGAACGTATCCAAGAATTACTTGGTTTCCATTTTGCAGTTGTGGCCTTTGGAGAGCCTACTGGAACCATTTTGCCGAGCACATGGTGCTGTTCCTCACATGCGGAGACTCTTAAATTATACATTAGCAAGCCCCATCTCCCGAGCCTGCTACATTCAACTCTTTAGTCATGTGCTTTGTAGAGGCAGTAGGTGCTGTTGCTCACTGCTACACATACACATACCTCCAGCCTGTTCTGTGCTGTTTCTAATCATTTCATCGACTGAACTCCAGACTGTGGGTCTGAATGGCATACATAAGCCATTAGCAGGGATGGAAAAAGTACTAGAATATTGTGCTCAACTAAAAGTACTCTTACTTTTGAGAAATTGCATATTTAGATACATTAAGTGTGAGTAAAACGACTGATTTTTATTTTTTTTTAAAAAGGACACAAAATGATTTTGTTACGTTTAGAAGAGTAAATGTAATTTGTTACCTCCAGCCTTGTACAATCAGGCATTTTCTACCACAGTCTAAAAATCTGCAGGCTTCACTGGCTAAAATAAGCATTCAGCTGTGCTACCCAAGCATTGATCTCATAAGTATAGTTGTCAAAAAAGAACCAGTTCAGCATCAGAGCTTTCTGCCTGAGGGTGTGTTCAGCATTGACAGCTTAAACACACTCCAGTGTTGCATTTATCCTGCCTGTATAATACACCTGGCTGTCACAGTGGGTGTTCCTTGATAACCTGTATGATAAAGCTTGTGTTAGATAATGTCATTTCCAATCTGAACTGTAAAGCGAAAAACTAAAATGGTTGTCTTTCTTCCCCTCTGCAGTATCATATCCAGACACAAGGCTCTGGAAGGTTTGAGCCAGGGCTCGGTGGAGTATCAGGCCCTGCAGCTGGTCTCGTCTCTGGAGCATTACGGCGTGGAGTGGCACTGGGCTCGTGATGCAAATGGGCAACGGTTGGCCATAGGAGTCGGCCCCGAGGGTATCGCCATTTGCAAGGAGGACTTCAGCTTAGTCAACAGGTACGCTCCACCGAGACGTCTGCAAATTGCTCTGTGTGTTCTTCTAGTGATGGTGCTTCTCATATTGCAGTAGATATCAAGAACGACATGTCTGATTTAAGAGTATTCAGTATGTAACTGCTTATTCTGTCTTTGCCTTCTCCTAGAATAAGCTATCCAATCATTCAGATCGCCACCCAGTCGGGGAAGAGTGTGTACTTGACGGTTACCAAGGACACAAGTGACAGCGTGGTGCTTTTGTTCAAGCTGATCAGTAATCGGGCGGCCAGTGGTCTGTACCGGGCCATCACAGAGACCCATGCCTTCTACAGGTGACTATTAAGGCCGGTTTTTAGTGGCAAGTTAGACTAGGTGACTACAGCTATTAATTATTCACAGATCTGACCTGCTTCAGAACAATCTTCCATGTCACTGTGGCATGTTTTAATAAGTTAATTGTTTGCTTTTCTTCACTTAAGACTAGTAGATTATAAATAAAAGAGCCGGGGGAAAACATGACCTAAAATGTGTTGCGTAAACATTTGTTCCACTCTATTTGGCATGTACTGCTTCCTGAGTTTACTCTCACACATTTGTACACATTGACTAAGTGTGCTCCTTGTTTTCTTTTAATATTTCTATGGTATGAACACATGCAAAGTGGCACACATGGGCACATGAAACATGTAATGGACCTGCATGAGTGTGGATGGAAATATAGATTGTGCAGGACAATCTTCAGTGGGCAGAGGTGGCCTTTTTCCTTTGCACAGACAGTATGCAGTGAGCAGAGACAATTCAAATGGCTGAGCTATGAAATTGTTGTCAGTCAGTCACAATAGTACAAAGGTACAAAAGACAGCCGTGTCCTTTTGTTTCAGGGACGGGTTTTAGCTCAGAGTCTGCAGATTTTTTTGCAGGCACGTCTTCGTCCTGCTTGCTCAGAAACAAGTGTGCAGTGATTATCTCATGTTAGTGAATGAGGCATCGGGACAAGATGAATATTAGCTGTTGCCTAAATGAACAGTGCAAGGGGGGTATTGGATAAACAGGCATAGTCTCAACAACACTGGGGTGAAGTTTGTCAGGTCAAATGCTCTGATTTTGCTGAGTAATAATCATGTCTTATCCTGTTTTCATTTCTTAGGTGTGACACAGTCACTAACGCAGTGATGATGCAGTACAGCAGAGACTTTAAAGGCCACCTTGCTTCCCTCTTCCTCAACGAAAACATCAACCTGGGCAAGAAGTACGTCTTCGACATCCGACGCACCTCCAAGGAAGTGTACGACCACGCCCGGCGCGCTCTCTACAACTCCGGTGTTGTGGACCTGATGTCTGGCGGCGGCGAACGCTCCTCTCCTTCACGCTCCCTGAGCCGAGACGACCAGCAGGACGAGGGGCTGGACTGCGGCAGCTGCCAGCAGAGCCGAGTGCTGCAGGAGCGGCTGCAGAAGCTCAGAGAGGCTCTGTTGTGCATGCTCTGCTGCGAGGAGGAGATAGATGCTGCGTTCTGCCCCTGCGGCCATATGGTGTGTTGCCAGACCTGCGCAAATCAGCTGCAGGTGAGACTCTTTTTCACTCACAGAAATGTCTGTAGACTTTACTGTGGAAGCCACATTGCAGGGCTTTTCATTAGTGTGGTTGGTATTCTCTTGTTTCATATAGACTGAGAAATGACAGTACTGCATTTGCTTTATGGCAAATGCTGATGTCATCACTACCGTAGAAGCAGTGTGCTAAAAAAGCCATCTCAAGAGCTTGTGCTTTGCTCAACTCGAGGCACCTCCAGCCTACTGTGAGCTTCCAGCTACACCCAAAGCTCTTTAATTATACTTAAGTTTTAACTTCTTATCCTTTTTATGGTCCTTTAAACAACATCCAAAGCTTTGCTTGCACTCTGCTGACCTGATTGTCCCCCCTCCGCTTAATCAGCTAAATGTTGCCCGTCTTTGTGGAAGCAGATGGTGTGTCTGTTTGAGCGTGTGTGTGAGAGAGTGAGTGAGTGTGTATGGGAGTTTGTCTTATAAAGGGATTATAGCAGCCAGGCAAATCTTACTTCCATTAGCTCAACTAAGAAACGTGACCCAGCTAATGGACGTGAGAATGAGTCAGTAGAAACTCAAGACACGAGAGCTAAAGAAGGAAAGTTCCACTGCTTTCATCAAGACTGTGGAAACTGTTCTCAAACTATAGCACTACATTTCACCTTTTCACAGTGAAACCTGCCTTGTCTGTTGCTGTAAAATATTTGCCACAGTGTTCTTCAGTCTCAACATTAAGATTTGTCATACGACCTGAGTGGTGGCTTGTCAGTTGCCTAAATGGCGGTCAGCAGCACTCATCTGAGCTCATTTGTTGACACAGCCAGTTGCTGTGACTCTTAGTACTGTGTGATTGTGGTTACATGCTCTCTGAACTTGCAACTTTGTTTTGCCGGCTTCTTGCTTTATGTCACGTCTACTGGCAACGTGTGTGTCGGCCCAGTTTGTCATGTGTTAGAAGAGTGGTACATTTGTGAACTCAGTGTTTGCTCAGGTTTGTTTTTGTGTTCTTGAACAAGCTGAGATGTGGACATAGAAGGTTTGAGATGCGCTATGGGTGTGTGATTAGGTCATAACTATGCCTATAATGATTCCAAAAAATGCAGAAGGTATTTTAAAGGGAAACTACACCCATTTTCAAACTTCCATGTTATTTCTATGGTCTAATGCTGCATTCAGTCTCCTTGGATAGTCCCATGTCCTAACTGGGGAAGTTGTTTTTCTGTTGGCACCTCATGCACTAAAATTTTCGCCAACTTTCCAAATTGTTGTTCCAACTTGAGGCAGCATTCACGTAAAATTTATGTGGACAGCACATGAATGCAGAGTAAGACGGTCCAAAAATAATAGTAAACATGAACAACTTTCTCCCAAATCCAAAGTAGCTCATGTTCACAAATACTGATTGAAGTTTCCTGGCAATGGAAATAACATGTTTGAATTCTCAATTTAGGAGGTGCTCACCTCAAAGTTTGCTCAAAGCTCAGGTGACCACAGCTAGCCTTGTATCACTTTTGACCAGAGCAAGTTACAACTGAAAAATAAACAAATACTCAAAGCTTATTCTTTTCTTTCCTCCCCCTCAGTTGTGTCCTGTGTGTCGGTCGGAGGTGGAGCACGTGCAGCACGTCTACCTGCCCACCTGCACCAGCCTGCTGAACCTGACGCTGACCGACAACCGCCAGCACCGCAGCAACATCCCCGCGCCCATCCACAGAGAAATGGCTTCTCCTCACAGCTGCTCTGCCACAGAGTACGAGCACAAGATCTACCACACTTAAAGACAACTCCACCAAACTCCATAATGAACTCGGACTTAAATCAGCCAGATTATGGTTTCATAAAGAAGGAACATTGCTCGTCCATCTGTGTCTCCTGCCTGGACTCCATGAACTACCAAACGTAAAGAAACTCCTGAGCATAATCAAAGATTGACACACTCAAACCACTCCCTCAACTAGTGTGCGTGCGTGCGTGCGTGCGTGTGTGCGTGCGTGTGTGTATGTGCGTGTGTGTGTGTGTGTGTGTGTGTGTGTGCGCGCACGCGTGTGTGTGTGTGTGTGTGTGTGTGTTTTATTGTTATTTACCTTCGTCCCTTTGAGCTGCCAGTGTATCTGGTTGGTTCTTAGTATTGTTGCCGTTGGTTTGTTTGTCATTCTGTCCAAATCTTGTTTGTTCGCACCCCCTGCCACAAGATGATTTTAGATTAGGCTCTTATTGACCTTAAATTATTGCATCAGTTGACCTGATACAGAAACACTTTTGTTTTTGAATTATTATTGTTAGTTGTTTTTTCCTAGCTCCATTTCAGACTCCTAGCCCCTGAACCCGAACCATATGACGAGTGTGTATGTGTTTTAGAATAGCTAAACACTGTATATAATGTCTGTCTTTTTCTTTTTTCATTTTTAATGCTTCTTGACATTTTAAAGCTTATTTGTTTTTTGATTTGAGAGCTGAATTTTACAGTGCAAGAGAGTGAAATATTTTATTTGTTTTTCATGTTCCATGTTTTCCATGCCAATTAGGGGGGTATTTAGAGGCTAAGCAGCGCTGCATATTAATGAGACACACCAGGTGCTAAGGCCACCATGGTCCCGTTCTTGTGATCTCTGGGTTAAATGGGGTTTTCGAGGGTTCTTTTACTCCACCACCAGAACTGCGACCTTGGCTGTGAAATGCAGCATCTTGCTGACACTCCCACAACCTCCTTCACCTCGAAACTGGATTTGTTGATTAACTGCCTCTTGTCCAAAACAACAAGCCCGGTTTCACAGACTGATGCGCCTTTAACTTTCAGTTAGCATGGAGATAAAAATGTAAGAAATTAAGAGGACAAACTGTCCCTCTGTTAAACACCGAACCACAGAGTTGTATACAAAGAAAACTAGGAATGTGTCCAGCAGCAGCTGCTTCCTCTGAAAACCTCAACTATAAATTTCTTCTCTGGGGTGGACTTGTGAGTTCCTTTTTGATATTTCTAAAGGGTACTAGGAGATCTGTCTGTGCAATACTTGCTTGCTTTTTGAAAAAAGCTTTTCATTTTCAAGTTTTATTTAATTTCAAAGACTATATTTAAGAGAAAAACAAACAAACAACATTGTCACTTTACCAAGGAAGTTTTCCACGTGTCTGTAGGAGGTTTGGCCTTAATGTAGCAGCAACACCATGTTTATTATAAACTGTCCACAGACTTTTTTTCTGGTGAGAAAAGGAAAACTTTGATTTCTTTAACGCTGACTCGATTAAGCTCAGCTGCTGCAGGGGAAGGACTTTTATTTTTCACAATGTACAAGTAGCGATTTGTTTCTGTTTTCTGAAGCAAAAGCCACTATGCTCTGTAAAATAACTCAGAATTAAATGCTTTTTATATATTCTGTTTTTAACAAAGAGAAAGTATTAATAAAGTTGTTTTTTAAAAACATACTCTGGATTCAGGGGACATTTATTTTTGTTTTGTATGTTGTCTGAAAGCATGTACACTTCACATATGTTCAGAACAGGCAAGACACCAGTAAAAACAAAACTTACTAATTTCAGAAATTAAAATACACACTGTATTTAATGTTGGATTGAACATATGTTGCTTAGGTGAGTCATCATTTCACTGAGTACTTGTCAACATAACCCTTCTGAATATATTCAACAGTATTTCCCTTTGGAATGTTTGTCAATGCAGTAGCCGACAAGGAAAATGCCAAAGAAGGAAACATCATGCCGACAATAACAGCGTTCAAGCAGCCAGACTTTGGTGCCAGTTCTAATGTCTAGTTCCTTAAACACTGTCTCTGATGTATGACCTTTCCTTCTTTTATACTGTGTTTTCCTTGGTAGCTGAAAGGAAGTAAGCAGGGACCAAAGCTGTTGCCCTAGTAACAGAATAGCAATGAAACTGTCTATAAATGGGTGCGGTCGTCTCTCACCATGAACGCAGATTCAATACAACACTATATATAGTACAAATTTAATGTTTGTTCCTCATTTTGCCTTTCACTGTTATCTGCTGACTTTATATCTGATAGCGACCCAGTACATGATAAAATCAGTCTTTGTTAGATACCGTGAGAGAGTGTTGCTGAGACAGAGACAGGTCTTGAACAAAGTTAACTTCCTCCTGAATTATCTGTCTGAAAAATGCTATTTTAGTGTCAGAGTGTTGGGAAGATAACTGGCTGTGGAAAAATGGGTCCAACATTTACATTAGTAACTATGAAGTGAAAGAATCAGTCATGATGTGTGCTCACTTTCACTTCTCCCATTGGAATGAATGTACTCAGGAGCCCTACTAGTCTCCTAAATGGGCAGGGCAGTGGTGAAACCCACAAGACACAGATTAGAGATTACTCTTAAGTGTCTAATGTGAGCTGTCTTGTTTACAGATGGCCTCTGGTACTTGGCAATAGCAACCACCAGGACAGTGATTCCCAATCTAAAGGCTGGGTAACCCATGGGTATCCAGATGCAAGGCCGTAGCCATGTAGTCAACATTGGGGTGGACCAAATCTGTCAGGGGGTCCAGGGGGTATCTCCTTAGAGTTCAGAAAATCCCCTAAATAGGACACAACAGAGAAGATTTTTTTAACTGCACTGCTCACAAATAATTTCCACTGAGGCTGTGACCTGTTACAAGATGTTTAAAAGAATTAACCAGACTAGTTGTTTCCTCATAACACTTCTACATTCATATCAAGCGTCTGCTCTAATACACAGATTTACTGACAGATATTAAAACCTGAAATTCCCTCATATCAAACTGTTGCTGAGCTCTTTCATAAGACCTTTTCTTGGTTTTACTCAGCAAAGCTATCAAGACTTAAGACAATCGGGCATCAGAGGTTTCAGATGACACGTGGCGAGAAGAGAAATGGCAAAAAGTGTTTTCTTGTGACCTGTCAGACTGCTGTGACTTCGCCAGCACCCCAGGTGAATCGTACTTGGAAGGGCAACACGTCATTTGTCACGGTCAGACTGGAAAATGTAGCTAAGAGCTGCACAGTGGTACAAACAGAGTCTGAATGTTGATGGGAAATGACAAGCTCCACTGGACTGTGATTATGAAGTCTGCAAATAAGAGTTTCGTACAGCCACTATTGATTAGTCAGACTTCACCCCTACTCTCTGAACCACCCCACTCTGTCCTTTCATAACCCTCTGGATGAGAATGCTTCTCTCTTTCTCTCCTGTTTCTCTTCTTACCTCTCTTTCTTTTATTTGCTCTCATGCATCACTGCCATTAAACACACTCCAAGGACACTGATGACAGCAGAGAGGGAGAGACGTGCAAGGGAGAGTGCTGTGATTTCTCTTCTCAGTCAGTCAGCCATGCAGAGCTCCGGTATCTTTGCAGGTTGGAAAACAACAACACAAGAAGTAGCATCATATAAAACATTACACCCACTGTAAAGTGAATATTTCACCTCAAGATAGAAGGACATGAAATGAAAAACATATTTAAAAAGGGACAGGCAGCGGCCTGCGAACAGCGACACGTGTTCATCTGTTGACATCAATCAACAGCTGTTTTGTTGTCTGCATCCCTGACACAGATTCACGCAAGCACATGTAGCCACAAACCCAGGCTCGTAACGTCATGACCTCTGCACTGATCCTTTGCCCTGACCCAGTGACATGTAGTGGAATCTCAATCAGGAAAACTACTGGTCACGTCAGGGGAAAAAAGTAGATAAGCTGATGGTATTATACCATATTGCTGGAGAATGCAGTGGAAAAACATGGAAACACTGCAGAGATGTTAAGCTCTTTGAAATGTGAAAACCTGAGAACATTTTCTGTTGTCACACTAATCCAAAATGTATCTATAATACCATACAAAAACTGCATTAATCTCTTGTTGAGAAATTGCCAACAAAATATGGATTTTGCAGTGGGTGGTGACACTGAGAGCTAATGTCAGAAAAAAATAGAAAAAGAGAGAGAGAAAAAAAGGCTTAGTGGTTTCATTGAAGACTGAGGATTTTGGATTTGCCTAGTCTGTTGCATATTTATGTTCTACTGGAATTGTGTTGGAATAAAATGCCCCTGGTATGTGGGATATTTACATCCCTTTTAATGTTTTAAAACAATGAAACGTCAAAAAACATATCTCAGAAAAATTCAGACATTTCTGTGAATGTTCTGCCAAAAACATTTTCACAAACAATCCGTCCTACTGTATCGCGTTTTATTGGTTTTCTTTTGCAAACGTCCTTTTTATAGTGTGCATGTAGCCAAGAGCAATAGTCAATAAAACCTGATAGAGGCGTGGTTGGTGACCCACTTTTATGCATGACTATAGTTTACTGGGCGCTACTGTACATTTTGTTACTGCTGGATGAACAGCTGCAGTAGGATTCAAAACTTAATGTAATGGTAAGGTTGTGCTATGTGTGAGTATAAAAGATGGGACAGAAAAGGGCACAGGAAGGTGTTTTAGCTGGGAAATGATTTGTGGCTGAAAGAGAAATGTAGATAATGTTGGCACTACCAGCAATTTCCTTTAATTTTGAATTTAATTCAGCTTTGTTTTCACTCTTAATGTCATAACAAATCCATATCACATCTAACAATTGCACTGACATCCTGTGTAATCATTGGCCCGTACAGAATGTTGCTTTTACGTCCACTGTCAAACCCCAGCGGAGATGTTTTCCTCTAGTCTGTTGTGCTGCTATCAGTGTGGAATTACTTCACAGTCGCATGCTGAGAGCGAATATCACTTTCTGTGCTCTTCTAACGGAAACATCTGCCAAATCTTTGACTGACCTGGCAACTTGACCACTGTTTACTCCACAAGCCATAACCCAAAGACAAAGAACAAAAGTTCAGTATGGGACAAAATATAATTTTCACTTCTACCAATTCAGACTGAACTGATTGATGTAAAGTATGAGGTGACTCTGGCTGACATGAATGCAACAAAGCTTCAATCATTGTCATGGTAATCAATGTCCAAATCAGGATTCAAAGGCTCCGTTTAAACATATATTATTATTGGTTTGTCTTTGATAAGAACATTCATAGACATAATTTAGTCAGGAACACTTTAGTCAAAGAAAACTTTATTTACATTTGCAGTGTTATATTTGGCGGCATGGCTCTGTTCTGGGGCCCCTCTGCCTTTCCTCTGGCCTAAGCAGAAAGCCTCTTCCACGTGCCTACATGGAAAGCATAAGGAAGAAATAGCCCACCTCTCTGTCCTTCTGGATGCCTATGTCAAAAGCCTAAGGCAGAGAGAGCACACCTCTCTGCCCTTCCATGTGCAAATGAGGAAACCCATAAGGCAGAGAGAGCACACCTGACTGCCCTTCCATGCGCCTACATGGAAAGCCTAAGGCAGGGAGAGCAGCAGCAAAGACCCCGCAGGAACAGAACAGAGCAGCATCAATGATAAACAGAAGTGACATTGATAAGTCACACAGCATGAAAAGGAGGAGCTGGAGTGGAGGTGGGTTGCAAAGCAGCTTGCAGAGGAAGCAGCAACAGTAGGCACACCAGAGCATTTTAAATAGGGCGGCCTGAATGAGATTCACCAGTTGGTTGCATAAAAAGGAATCATGTGCTGACTCCCTTTCATCAATCAGCTGCTCTATCAGTTGATTGGCTGTTAGTCAACCAATGTAGCTGGGATGTGAGCTGAGTTTGACATCTTGTCCTGCCTGCACTAACGCTATGCTCAAGTTTTGTGACTCTGACTTGCTCTCATCTAACCTCAGTCATCAGTAGTCCAGCACTACTGCAACTGGGACAGTTTGACCACAAGTGACAGACTTCCAGACATGCTAGCAAGATGTTAAAAAAGTCAAGAATTTGGAATACTTTCACAATTTGCGAAGATAATCCCTAAAAGTCAAGAGCCAGGTACGCCAAAGGAAACTGGCACTGCACAAATCTATAGCGAGCTTGGAAAACTCTAAGTAACAGCTTAGCCGTCTTGCAAAGTGATCTTTTTTCTTGCTATTATGGCTAATATTACTGTGACCTGCATGCTAACAAAGTGGCTAATTGTCATTTTAGGTGCAAAAAAGTCTGACTTATGTCCTCATCTATCACTCACTGACCCCAAACCCTGACCCCACACCCTAACAAAGCTTCCATTAATTGCGGTTATTTTGCACTGATGCTTCAATGCCCAAAAACTTGTATTCGGGATAGCCCTACTGGTTACAGACCACCTCTGGCTTGTTCCCTCACCAACACTGACTCCACTGAGGTTGGTAATTCTGTAGAAAGACAATATCGATATCGATATTTAAACTCATCACCTAAACACATACACCCCTCCTGTCATGTGCCAGAGTCACTGTCCACCTCACTCCCACTGGCTCTCTCTTTTTACATCCATTGCCTTCCCCCTGACCAGTGCATACACAGTGCTGTGTGGCTTGGTTTGAGCCATTTTGTTTATTTCCCATGTACAGAGCCAAC